TTGAAAATCTCTAGTTGAATGACACATGCATGTGCCCTTTGCCTCAGCAGTTCCCCTTCAGGGGATTTATCTTACTAGTAAATGTACACATCAGCAGAATTGCTGACAATCAAGGTTGTGCACTCAGCACTGGTTGCAGTAGCAAAGGACTGAAAAAACTCAACCGTCTAGCAGTCAGGAACCAGTTAAATAAATTAGGTCACAACCATACAACAGAATCCAAACAACTGTTCAAAAATGGTGAGCAAACTATTGTACTGATAAGAAAACTCTCCGAGATATACTGATAAGTAAAAAGAAATTAAGGCACATAACAGTGTGTAAAGTGTGCCACCTTTTGTATAAAAAAGGGAAGAAATGAGAGTATGAGTATTTATGCAAATGTAAAATACATGTATTACATTTATACAAACATAATTATATGTAACAGTGAATATGTATTGTAAAAATTCCAAATATTTTATAATTATATTTTATGTTACATTATATATCATAGTGTATTCTTAAGTATAGCATTATAAATTATATTTTTAAATTTTTATAAATTTATAAAAAGATGTAACATAATTTTTATATTTTAAAATATATTCCTTTATATTACAGATATACATATGTATGGAGTATGTATTATAGTGTAGATATATATACATAATATGTATCAATGATAACCACACATGTGTATATGCATGTAGGTATAGTATGCATACACATACCTATATATTCCTGTGTGTGCATAAAGAAACAGAAAGGACACAAAATAATTACCGTGGTTAGTTGTGTGCATGTGGTTTATGGCATAAAAATTTGGTTGGTGGCATATGTGCACACATGCTGGTGAGAGAAAGATTTTTCACTGAAAACTTCTTTTATTGTTGTTAGTTTCAGGTGTACAAAACAATGTAAATAGACATTTCTCCCCTCAGAAAATGATTACCCCCCTTCCCCAATCTATTACCGCTCTGACATCATATATAGCTGAAAACATTTTTTACTTAAAAAAATTTAACTAGGGCCAACCAAGTGGCCCATTAGTTAAGAGTTGGCTTGGGACGCCAGCTCTGAGCAGCAGGACCCCGGTTCAGATCCCACATACAGGGCCAGTGACGCTGCACCCTCTACAGCTAAGATGGTGAACAACAGCTTGATCTGGAGCTGGGCTGCTGTGAGTCGCTGGGGATGGCATAGGCTGCAGTGGGGCTGGCTGGCAGTGGGCGTGCACTTTTGTGAGCTGCTGTGAGCCGCTGTGAGCGGCTGTCCAATGGCCAGCGGATGACTGCCTCACCAGGGAAGAGCGCAATGATAATACCAACATGGGCCAGTGAAGCAACGTCCTCCACAACTAGACTGAAGAACAAAAGGACAACAACTTATCTGTTCCCCTTATGGATTCCCCAACGCTGTTCCCCTCCCCCAATTTCCCAATAAAATCTTTAAAAAAATTAACTAGAGTTATGGGGTGATCATTTGTAAGGTATATAAATGTCTAATCAGATGTTGTACATCTGAAACTAAAATACTATATGTCAGCTATAATTAGAAAATACATTTTAAAAGTTATAAACTGTGTATTAACTACTCAAAATCTTAACTAAAGCATCTTAAGGAGAAAGGCCCCAGCGGCCAGTTCTTCAGGCCCCTCCCACTGTCGGTTTGACCAGTCCTGGGAGAGGCCTGGATTTCGAAGCCGGCGCTCCAGCTGCCCCTCAGAGCGCACGCGCAGACCCAACACGGCGCATGCGCTGATTTTTGGCGCGGAGTGCGAGGCAAAGTGCTTCAGTCAGGCGAGGACGCCAGTCGGGCGAGTAGGCCAGGCAGACTAGGTGAGGAGCACATGGGTGGCCGGGTGGGCATAGATGTACCGCGCGCGGGCAGCGCGGGACCGGGACAAGACGGTAGGAAACCCAAGGGTGAGGGGCTCGCTCGCGCGCGCTCGCAGGCCACAGGCCGGACGGGCCTCAGGGCGCGAGAAGCCCAGGATAGCAAGAGACGGGACTTCCTGAGAGGGAAGCCGGCCTCCGTAAGGGGGATGCCATGGTGGGCTGGGCCGCTACAGGAGGTCACCTCCGTGGTGAAGAAAGACAGGGAGGGAGTGTGGCGCGCGGGGTGAGGGGCATCCGCAGGTCGGATGCCTGGGCTGAGAAAACCCAGGAACTGAGGGGACAGGGTGCGCAATGGCGGCGTCCCCTCCCCTCCCCTCTTGACTCCTTTCTGGGCCTCAGGCCCCTGTTTTTCTTCCCAAAGGCCTCCCGCAAACACCCTCGACCTTCTGGATAGGACAGGGCCTCCCGCTCCACCCCTTGTTCAAGACCCGTCCTTGGCCCTGACCCTAATCCTCTCTCTGATCCCAGCCCTGACCTTCCTCTCCTAGCCTGATCTTTTGGCCTTGCTTTTGTCCCCTCCGCCCTGTACCCTTTTCAGCTTTCCCAGCTCTGTCCCCTCATCGCTCTCCATCTTCTCATCCTGCTCCTCCCCCTCATCCTGCTCCTCCCCCTTCTCCTGCTACTCCTCCCCCTTCTCCTGCTGCTCCCCCTCATCCTGCTCCTCCCCCTCATTCTGCTGTTCTTCCTTCTCCTACTCCCTTCTCATTCTGCTCCTCCCTTTCCTGTTCCCACTTCATCCTGCTCTGCCCCTTCACCTGCTCTTCCCTCTCATCCTCTCCTCCCCCTCATGCTGTTCTGTCTTTTCAGTCTGCTGCTTCTCCTCTGTCTCAGTCCCACCCCTCCTCTTTCTGGTCCTCCTCCTGGCCCTACCTCCTTGTCCCTTAGCCCTGTGCCTCCTTCTCCTCTACCTGTCCCACTCCTTCTCTTTGTGTCCTTCCCCCTCTGTCCTGGCCACGGACCTCTTCATCTCCCTCAGCCCCACCACTCCTTTCAGTCCTCCTCTCTACTTCAGTCCTGCTCCTCTCTGTGTATCTCCTTCCTACCCTGGATACACCCCTCCTTTCTCAGGCCTACCCCTCTTTTCTGCCCCTCCTCTTTATCACTCCCCACTCTGCCCCTGCACTCTGCCCTGCCTTGCTTTCTTGCTTTGCTCCTTTTCTCTTGCCTTGGCACCCCTCTTCCTTTTGCTCCCTTCAGTCCATGTTTCCTCCTCCCACTGTAGCCTCTGCCCACCTGGAGTCTCTTGGTCTCCATTCCATTCTCCGGACACTCTCAGTCCTACATCTCTGGAAGCTTTTCTCTACTCTGACATCAATGAACTCATACATTTTTAAGGAACTCTTGGTTTTTTTTGTTTTGTTTTAAGTATTTAACATGTTAGAGGCTTTTGTCACTATTTGCTAACAAGACTTCCTCCCTGTTTCCAAGAACCTCTTGTGGGGGGATAGAAGGGACTGTTTGGGTAGAAAGTGTAAATACTACCTTTCTTCTTTTAGGAAATTTACTTACTGCCCTGTTTTGTTTCAAAATTCATAAGATTTTGTATTAAATTATGTAATATACATTTTTACCTTACTATAAAGAATTTTTCTTAATAATAGATTTAAAAATTGATTCTTCAGGATGGTATCTTGTGGTTTTAAGCTCCTGCCTTACTTAAACCTTAACAGCAGATGCAAAAGATCTTTTTCTTTTTTGTCATTTTAACAGATGAGAAAAGCTAAATTCAGAGACATGCTACAAATTGTCCAGGTTTTCACATCATTTAGTGGAGATGGTCAATGTTCCAGAATACAGAAGCTGTTTACTTCCCATACGTCAAATAAATATTTCATAATTAATGCCCATAGATAACTGCTCATAGATAACCCCCTGGTGTAGTATTTCAGTTTACTTTCTAGTGTTTTTCTGTACTATGCTTATGCTTAAGCATATAGTCTATGTACAAGTTTGTTTCTTGCGTTTTTCACTTGATACTATAACCTAGATGTTTCCCTACAACTACAACAGCTAAAAATTTTTAGTGAAATATACATTTGGAAAAAGTCACAAATCTTAAATGTAGAGCTCAGTTTTCACAAAGTGAACATACTGTGGCCATGCCATGAGCTCCTAAATTAAGAAATAGAACATTACCAGCTTTCCACAAGCACCTTTTGCTGTCCCCTCCCAGGTATTACCACTGCTGCCCCCAGTGCCAATGGTAACCACTATTTTGACTTAGATTTGTTTTGCATTTTTTTTGACCTGTATATAAATGGAATCATATAATGTGGACTTTTTTTTTTGAGCTTACTTTTTTTCACTCAACATCAAGAAACATCCATGTTCTCAATTCTGTTTAGAGATCCAGTGCATGTATATATTATTCTACCAGGGCTCTGTCTCCTCTCAAACACTATTGTCTGATTTTTTCATTTTGAGCATTCTGGAGGGTATGTGATACCTCATTGTGCTTTTAATTCATATTACTCTGATAATTAATTAAATTGAGCCCTGTTACATGTTTATTGGCCATTAGCTATCTTCTTTTGTGCAATACTGCTCAAATCTTTGAACCTTGTTGCTCTTACTTTGCTTTTTTCTTACTGTTTTGTATGGGTACTTTATATATTTTTAATATGAATCCAGTCCTTTATAGGATATATGTATAGTAAAGATCTTTCCTCATTTCTGTATAATATATAGTCATTTTAACTCATTGATATTTTGAAATGAAATCCTTTCTCCTGTGGTTCATCAGTTCATTGTGGTTTGGGGTTCAAGTCTCTTTTCCCTTCAATGCCATTTCTGAAATATTCCTAGCCTATGCCTGTGGATTTTCCAGACTTAGGAATGGGCTTAGGCAGCATCATGTCTATAGGTGTGCAAATCTCTGTGAATGTGTATTTAGGTATTTGTGTGAAATGAGCTAAATACCGCCCTTCAAATCACCTCCACCTCACTGTCCAGTCCTAACTATGCATGCCACTGGTAAGTCTGTATGTAATTTCTGCAGGTCCTGAGGTCTGTATCTTTTATTCATCTGGTACAGCTCTTCCCACCATCTTCCACAGCACTGTGTTCTTGAGCAGCCTGCCTTTTCGAGTATCTCCACCCTGTGAAGACCAAACTGTAACAATGCTGCACATGACACAGGTTTTGGATAGCTTGAGCAGTCCCCAGCTCTTTTGTGCATGTGATCAAGAAGAGAATCCAGAAACCATTCTTACAAGAAACCCAGGGGCTCTGAAAATTTCTCATGAAAATCTTAGGCATTTTCAGTACCTGTCAGTGACCGGGCCTCACCAAGCTGTGAGCGAAATCCGGGAGCTCTGTTGTCAATGGCTGCAGCCGGAGACAAACACCAAGGAGCAAATGATGGAGCTACTGGTGCTGGAGCAGTTTCTGAACACCCTGCCAGAGGAGATTCAGACATGGGTGAGGTTGAATCAGCCCAAGAACAGCACAGAGGCAGGAACCCTAGTGGCAAACTTGATCCAAGCATGTGAGGAGACAGGTGAGAGATGAAAGGAGCAACTGGCCATTTGCATTTATTGAACATCCGCTGTGTGCCTGCATGTAATGGGAGCTGAATAAAAATTTAGTAACTGGCAGAGTTAGGATTCTAGCTAGCTCTGGCATCTGTACATTTAACCACAGTGTTACACTGCCTCTGGTGGACATAGGGAATATTGTCCCAGAGTTAAAAACTTGGTCAAAGGCACATAACTATTGGTGGAACTAGGACTGGAGGGGGGGGGGGGGGGGGGGCTGAGGAGAGAGCTTTCTAGGATATGAGAAAGAAACAACAGATTAATGAAAGGTGCACTTGGAAAGAGCCTGCAAGCAAAGAAGGCCTTCAAAGTTAAGGTTTCTGTAGGGGAAAGTGGTGGCTGTCTTCTAGATCAGTGAATGAAAAAGATGCAGGAAAACCTTAATAAGAGCTGTCATTGCTTTCAGTGCCTACTGTGTGCTTTACATAGGTAATGCTTAATTCTTACAAGAGCCCTTAGAAGTGTAAGTATTATTATTTACATTTTGCAGTTGAGAAACAGATTCCCTGGTGATTGAGTGAACAGTGAGACTGGGAACCATTGATATCGAGGGAACTTCCACTTTATTTGCAAAGCAGTGGGGAGCCATTGAAGAGTTTAGATCTGGGAGATGACCAAAGAGCTTTTTCAGAACTTGCTATATTGAGCTGAGAAATGATACATGATCTTTCTCTTATCATAGGAAGATAGTACGGCTACTACCTCCCATGGCAGGACAGGGCGGTGTGGGGGTGGCAGGCCCCTCTGTGTCTGTGGGTGCTGCCAGAGTGGGCTCAATTCCATGGTCATTCCTTTCTCCCTTCCAGATTTCCCTGCTCAGGACTCTGTCCTTGCAGATGAGAGGAACACCAGAGAAGACCAAAAGGAGGACACAGAGATGTTTGACAATTTGCCATCTGCTGGATCCCAGGTGAGTCAGGCTTTCTTCTGACTTGGTTCTCCAATATGGGGATCTTACCTTCCTGATTTCTGGACTTTCCCTGTCTAATTGAACCACACCCTCATTTTATTTAAGTCTTCATGTAAGCATCATGTAACTGCCTTCCCCTGGCTACCTTATTTAAAATTTTCTTCTGACGCCCTTTCCAGCTTTATTTTTCTCTGTTGTCTTTATCACTATCCCATGTACTGTACCTTTAACATTTTTTCTCTTTTCCTATCTCTTGAATTAATTTTTTTGTTTGTTTAGTATTTCATTTTATCTTTACTATTGGCTTATTCAAAACAACCTTCATGTGGTTTGCACTATTAATATGCTCGTTTTTTTTTTAGCCAAGCCATCCTGCCACCTGTTGGCAGCTCAGCGGCTGCTCAGCTCGGGCTGGGACTCGAACCGCTGTTGCTCAGAGCTCGCACTCTTGCGCGAGCTCTTAACCAACTGAGGCACTCGGCCAGCCCTTATTATGCTCCTTTTAATGTATGAAACAAATGACAGTTATTGCAAGGACATGATACAGTTATGGGGTTTTCTTTTTTTCAAAAATGCACTTGTTAAATCACGTTTTGAAACCTAAAAGACAATGAAATCAATACATCGAGCTCCCTTTAGAACCAGAAAATAATTTATGGGGGATGGCAATTAGGAAAAAATTGTCTAAGAAGGCTCCTTGATGGGGAGATAGGAAAAAAAGGTTGAGAAACACCTCTGTCCCTAGTGGCCGTGGCAAGGATCCCAAGTGAAGATGCACACAGGGATTACTGAGGTAATATGAATGAGGAATTTATAAATGGGTGGATTATGCTAAACTGGGGAGCGCCTGCCCCATGTAAGGGCAGCTACGACTCAGCTTCAGCTGTGGTGCCATGTGAGAATGTGGGCCCAGGTCTTCTGCTTTTTTAAAAGAGAAGTCAAAATTCTAGTTAGTAATATGAAATCTATAAACTTTTTGGTGATGTTAGCTAATATGAATTTTAAAAAATTTTAAAAGCCCATGTGAGCCAAATTAACCCCTCTGTAGGAGCTGGGCAGCCAGTGCATGACCTGAAGTTTAAATCAGGTGGTCACTGATCTGCATAATGTCATAGAAACACAAAAGATGAATATAAATAAAATGGGCATCACAGTCTTATGTAGTCTTCTAATGTCTGCTTTTTAAATTCAACCTTAGGTTACCAAGATTGTTGTGTGTGACTGTAGTTAGATAGTTTGTATTGCTGGAATATTATTCCATTATATGTCAATACCAAAATGTATTCACCTCTTTTACTGGATATAGATGATTGTGCCATTTCCAGGTTTTGAATGTTACAAACAACACTGTTATGAACATTTCTAAGTACACAAGAGCAAATATACATAGGAATAGAATTTCTGGGTCCAAAGTGGTTTACCAATTTACGTATTCCTTAGAATCTTATAAGAGGTCCCTTGGGTCTATGGCCATACCACCCTGAACGCGCCCGATCTCATAAGCGGTCCCGTGGGCTCACGTTCTAAGTAACATTTGGTATTGACAGACTTCTTAACTTTTGTCAGTTGAATGGATATAAAATGGTACTTTTTCATTTTGATTTGCATTTCCCTATTTATTAATAAGACTTACTATTTCTTTGTATTTATGAGCTTTTTGTGTTTTACAGATGAGTCACTGAGGCTTACCTACCCACACTTGCAAAGCTTATAAGAAAAAACAGAGCCAGGACTTGAACCCAACTCTCTCTGATTCCTAAGGCTAAGGTGTTCCTCCAACCCAAATTTGTAGTAATTAGCAGCAGGAACTATCTTAGAAATGTTCCCCCTTCTCTTAGACTACAAGATGAGAAAGGTACATGGCTAGGTCCCTGTAATCTCCAGATTAGAACACTTGGACTAGAAGCTTTCTGCTGGTCTGAATGTCGGCTTCTTGTTCAGTCCTCTCTTGTCAGGCTCCCTGGGATAATTTCTGGATTTTGATGATTTGTGATTGTTTTTGGTGTTTTAGGAATTGGTGACATTCCAGGATGTGTTTGTGGACTTCAGCCCAGAGGAATTAGCCTCCCTTAGTACTGCTCAGAGGACCCTCTACCGGGAGGTGATGCTGGAAAATTACAGAAACCTGGTCTCCTTAGGTAAAGCCTGCCTTCTCCATGGAACTTGGCTTGTGCCCCTTGGGGCAGTTGTTCTCAACTCTCTTCTGCCCTTTCATCAGTGTCAGTAGTTCACCATGTTGATGAGTCTCAATGCAGATCAGAGGCAATATTGTAATATCAAATTCACTGTTACTCATAATATAGCTAACATTTGCTGAGCAGTTAATGTGGTTCAGGTATCAGTCTGAGAACTTTATATGTCTTAATTCCTTTAATCCTCATATTGGTCCTATGAGGGGGTATACTTCTTGTTATTATTACTGCCATTTTTCAGATGAGGAAACTGAGTCATGGACAAGTTAAATTACTTGCCTAACACCACACAGCTACAGTTGGGATGGCACTCCAGAATCTGCTCCTTTAAACTCTGCTGTGCTGCTTGACAGGTTTGCTTCATTAGGTTTCTGCACAATAGGAGGCTCACAGTGATGTTTTTTCAATGAGTGAAGGAATAGCTGAAAATTCCAGGAACTCCAAAGGCTTCTATTGGCCTTGAAGTTTAAGAGTCAGAGATTGCCAGTCTCATTTCACATCCAAAGACAGGGTTGTTTACCTCTCCCCACAAGCTAAATGTTTTTGTTGCCAGTGCTGGGATCCTCTTTTCAGTGGCTTTTTGGGAACCAAAGGGCTCTTGGAAAACACAAAACCAAACACTATTCCACTAGCAGTAGGCTGGTGCTCTTATCCTTGTGAAGTCAGAGACCTACGTTGGGAGATAGAAGAACCTTACCTCAAACCCAGGTGTGTAAGTTGAACCACGACTTTTATCGGTCACAAAGAAGGTAAAATGGAGTGCCTTTTGCAATATAATTCTTCTCTCAGTTACCACATTTTTGACTTACAATAGAGAGAATAAATCAGTTTTTGTTTCCAGCCGTCATGCAGTGACCTGGAGGCATTTCTGGCTTCTTGTGAGCCCTGGGCTTCTTGTATCACTGAAGGTCTTGAGTTCATAGAGATCTTACATATTACTTAGGACATTTTCTTCCCAAGTGTAGAATGAGTACAGTGGGTTATACAGATTATTTTAGGTGGTACATGGACAGCGTAAAATAATCCTTTAGTCAGTTGGTGTGAAAGACACTCCTCTTCTAATTGTCTTTCAAACCTCTGGTTATATCAGGTAGAGAGTGTCATTTTGGTGCTAGCAAGTCTCTGCATCTTGTTGATCTTTTGTTTTGACAAAGAGAGAGCAGACATCAGTCCTGAGCCTTAAATAGGTAGCAGGAGCTAGTGAGAACTCAATAAGTTTAGTTTCTGCTGTATCTATATTATGTTACCTTCAGTTTTGTTTGTTTTTTTTTGCAAATGACAGTAGTTTCTGTTTCTAAGGTTAATATAAAGTTTCCATTTAAATTAAGTGTATTCAAGTTAAAAAGAGAGGCCATCTAAAGAAAAATATTAAATAAATACTAAATACTACTATAAATGATACACTGATGGGGCCAAAATGTGAGGATCATTCATTCATTTGTCAGTGAACTCACAGTGTGCCAGGTACTGGTATAGCCAGTGGGGTTATGAAATAGATGAGAATTCCTGTTCTCGTGGGTGTTACATTCTAGTGGGGTGAGACAGATAATAAACAAGTAAATCATAAGGTGCTATCTTAGTCTGTTTGATCTGTTATAACAGAATAACACAGACTGGCTGGCTTCTAAACAACAGAATTTTATTTCTCACAGTTCTGGAGGCTGGAAGTCCAGGATCAGGGTGCCAGCACAGTTGAGTAAGGGCTGTCTTCCAGGTCTCAGCCCTCTCATTGTGTCCTCTCATGGTGGAAGGGACGAGGGAGCTCTCTGAAGCCTCTTCTATAAGAGCACTGATCCCATTCACGAGGGCTCCATCCTTATAACCTCAGCCTCTACCAAAAGCCCCACCTCCTGATACCATCCCATTGGGGTTTTCAACATATGAATTTGGGGGATGATACCAACATTCGGACCATAGCAGGTAGTATGCAAATGATTGAAGTTTGGGAAACACACAACTAGCAGAGAGGGAGAAGGAGCATTTTAAGACGAGGGAATGAAGGTTGTCACAGGAAGAGAAGAATCCTGTGTTGCCCACTTTTTGCACATCCCCATCATCAGATCCCCATGCTGAAGCAGAGAGCCCAGCACACTGCCCTCAACCCCAATTTCAGTTTTGACTCTAGAGCAGAGTTTCTTAGCCTCGGCACTGTTGACCTTTGGGCTACATCACTCTTTGCCAGGGTGTCCTGTGCACTGCAGGATTCTTAGCAGTACCCCTGACCGCCACCTACACATCAGTAGTACTCCCTCCTTCCCCCGAAGTTGTGACGACCAAAAATGTCTCCAGACATTGCCAAAGGTCTCCTGGGGACAAACTTGTTAGGAACAAGTTTTTCTTCTGTGTGAATTTGCATCTTCCTTATTGTCTCAGAGCCCTTAGAGCCCAGGCTGGGTGTCACTGTGGGTGCAGCAGAACCCTAAAACATGAATCTCCTTGTTCAACAGGGTACCAGTTCTCTAAACCTGACATTATCTCACAGCTGGAAGAGGAGGAGTCACGTGCAATGGAGGAAAACAGTGATACAAAGATATTTCCAGGTGAGCTGTGGAGACTGGTGTCATGGGAAGACAGTGCCCCAAGTCAGTTCGCAGCAGGTCAGGGAGTGTCCCTCAGAGCCCACTCAGGTCAGGGAGAAGGTTGGTCAGTCTCTCACTTTGGGCTCACAAGGCGTCACCACCCCATGTGTGCTCAGCACTTCCTTTTGTCTCCTCTCTGAAGCTTGTCTCTTCCTGTAGCACAGGTTCTGCTCCTGCGCAGCTCCTTGGAGGTCAGTTTCCCTTTTCTCTAGTGCTACAAACCCTCCATTCATCCATGACTTTGCTCTTGCAGTTAGAAATCATAGGTGTTTTCTCTTTAACTGAGAAAAGCAAGAAACCTTGGTGTGATACGACTTCTCTTTCCATCTGCCTCCCATTTTCCCTCAATGCCCTCTCCTCAGACTTGTTGACACTCAAAGGCTCCCTCCCCTCCCTCCTTAACTCTGTAGTCTGGTTTCCATCCCCCTACCTCTCTCCACACACACTCACACACATGCACTCACATTGTGTTCTACAACTTCCCCAAAAGGTCCCTCCCGACATCCTTATGGCTCAAAAACAAGAACCTTCTAGATTTTCCCTTTTACAAACGCTACAGCTACATGTGATAAGTTTACCATATTTATGAACTCTCTCCTTTGAGTTGGGTCATCATGTGTATCAGCCAAGATCATGGTTGTCATTCAGTTGCTATTAGCAGAAAAGCACACCCAAACTGGCATAAGCCATAGAAGGTTATTAGCTTCAATACTGGTTGGCTGGGCCTCAGGAATGCTTGGATGTAGGGGCTCAGTGATGTTGGCAAGGCCTAGTTTCGTTTTCTTTTTTCACTCTGCCAACAAATCCTAGATGTGCTTTCTTGTTCCTGTCCAAAGACAGCACGACAGAGAGCAGGTGTATCCAAGAAGCATTCTTAAATGCAAGGAGTGTGCTTTTCTAGAAGTTCTGGACACACCTCTCCTTATTTTTCAGTGTTCCATTTCAGTGGGTTACATTCCTGAAGCTGTAGCTGTGTCTAATGCTAATTGACACAGCACCCCCCTGCCTTTTCCTGTGGCTGGAGACGTGGATGCCCAGACAAAATTCATGACCGACTAAGGGGATTCCTCCACCTGCATCTATGTTTCCTTCATTGTCTTCTATTGTTCACTCTAGTTTGTTCATTCATTCTTTGATTCATTCAGTCATTCCACAGATATTTATTGTGTCTCTGTGGTGGTCCAAGCACTGTCCTAGGTTCTGAGGATACAATAATAGACAAGACAGACACAATCCCTTTTTTTATGGTGCTTGCATTCTAATGGGGGTGAGAGGTGATAAGTAGACAAATAATAGAATATGAGTGTAAAGCAGACAGAGTGACATGGGAAGCTGCTTAACATGAGAGTCAGGAAAAAGTCACCGAGGAAGGTTTGAGAAGTCACTGAGCCAGGTAGGAATTTGAAGAAGAGGGTGGAAGGCAGGGGGAACAGCAAATACAGAGGACCTGAGGTTGGAATGAGCTTGGGTGTTCCAGAAACAGGAAGAAGAGCGATATGGTCTGAGTAAAGTGGAAGGGGATAAGAGATGAGGCCACAGATAGACCCGGGCCAGCCTGCATAGGTATATGTTAAGGAATGTGGATTTCATTCCAAGTGAGGTGTGAAAAAGGTATTTGAAGGATTTGAACCAGGGAATGAGGTAGTATTATTGACACCTTAGAACTGTGCTGTCTAGTGTGGCAGTCACTAGCCACATGTGGCTACTTAAATTTACACCAATCAAAATTACATAAAATTTAAAATTCTGTTCCTCAGTTACACCAGCCATATTTCAAGTGCTCATTAGCTGCATGTGGCTAATGGCTACTGTATTGGACAACAAAAGTATAGACCATTTATACCATTGCAGGGCATTCTATCGGGCAACCCTGTTCTAGAAAGATCCCTCTGACTGTTCTATGGAAAATGGGCTTTAGGAAGACCAACAGAGAAGCCAGTTAGGAGGCTGTTGAGGTCCAGCAGGCTAAAGCTAATGGAGGCGGGAGCCATGGTTGTGGAGTTCTCTGGTTTGCAGTGTTCCCTGATAGGAGAACTGGCAGAACATACTGGAACATTGGCCAGACAGCAGGTGAGGAAAACAGAGGTTTCAGTAAGGACTTCTTTAGAGACTGTTCCCTGAAATATAATCCACTGTGATGGATCCAGTGTCCCTCTTCTGATGACCTCCTAATCTGTGTTCTCATTCTGCTGTTTTACCATATTCTGCTCACTTATTGCGAATGTCTGTGGGATGTGACCACTGTGTCCATCATTGTCTTTTCTAAGTTACAATCTTATACTTGATTTCCTTGGCTGCAGTTTCTTTCCTAGCCAGGGAGTTCCCTTTATAAAGTACAAACTTTTGACCAGCTTCTTATCCCTTTCAAAAGAACATCCAAACTTTTAGCAAAACATTTAAATCCCTCTCATTCTCCATAAGGTCTATCCTGTTATTTTTGGTCTCTTTCTTTTTCCTTCCTTCCTTCCTTCCTTCCTTCCTTCCTTCCTTCCTTCCTTCCTTCCTTCCTTCCTT